TCCCTTCTCACTACAGGGAAAAATAACAGCTCTCCAATTCTTCACTCATGGTACTGAGGAGGTTGGCCAGAGCACTTCCCTCATCATGTATTAGAGAGAGTGTGTTTGCTCAGCTGCTGTAGAACCTGGCTGACTCTGTGGTGATGTCTCTAACAAAGAGCTGATGCCTCAAAGTTGGTTCCTGTGCTACAGAGAGCCTCTTTCAAGTCAGTGCAATTGCTTGCATGAGTAATGAGTGTGTGTCCTAATAAAGGTTGCATGGTTAGCATTAATAACAAATCCAAGAGCTCCAAGTCATGACTTCATTCTAGTATTACAGAACCTGAATGCTGGAAAACTTGCACAGCTCTCCCTTAAGAAACCCTAATTAAGGAGAATTATCTCTTTTATCAATGAAAAAATTGCTTCAGTCACTGATTCCTTTTCCATCCACCTCAATACTGAATCTCTGTGTAGCATATATCATGTGGCTTTGCTGGAGTAGCTGGAGAGGTAGGCACTGGAACTGGAGAAAGCCCAGCAGCATGCAAGGGAACTTAAGTCATAAATATGTATAAGTTCATGTAAAAAATAAGCCTTATATTAATATAACCAAAATCTGAGATGGAGAAGATCTGCTGCTGAGTCATGCAGAGCACTCTCTGCCAAATGCCTCAGCTAAGAATTTATTCTGCTTAAAGTTGAAAGCCTGCCACAAAAGAAACATTTTCAAATTCCACCATAAAAAGCTGTGGTGATACCATGGCCATTCTGATCCCATTACTCCAGAGACATTAGGAATTGTTGGCAATTTGCCTGAGTACTTTCCAGTAAATGGCAGAGAAAATGGGTCAAAAGGAAAAAGAAAGGACCTTTGTGGAATTTCATTGCAGAGTAAAATTAAAATATTTTGAATAACAGATTCTTTGGTGTTATGTGTTCACCTTGGCATGTGCTAATATACATATCTATCTTCTCTTTCTCTCCTCTTAGAAACAAACTTATTCATCTCAATCAGTCTAGGCACATTTGAGACTATTTCAAAGATTTTTAAGTGAAATTATTTAAATGCCAAATGAAAGAAGTAGGGGAAATAGAGATCATTGGCATGTCAGTATTAATGGTTATTAAAATTAACTTCAGTAGTGCTTTCTTAGTTACAGTAGAAACTAGGAAAGCAGAAATTAGATAAATTTCCAGTGTATGAAGATTTAATGTTAATAGTTAAGGGCACCATTTTGGTCACCCTTCTGCATAACTAACTACCAAAAATGCTGAAGGTCTGACATGGGTTGGGTTTTTTTCAAACACAAATCTAACCAAGTGCAACAACAAGCTTTTGCTCAGGTTATTTTGTTTGGTTGGTTGGTTTTTTCAAAAATAGTAAGGTCAATACAGCACTGCTTCAAACACTGTCCTCTCTCTCTGAACATTAATGCACTATTTGTTCATGGCCTTGTATATAAGTAAATACAATAAATGTTGGCTTTATTGAGAGTCACTGTGTACATGTGTTACATCAGCAATTCAGTTAAACACTTTTAAATTGTCAGAATACAGACTGCTAAATAAAGAGGCTGAATTTTACAGATACAAGGATGTTAACAGGCTTTCTCAGAACAGTAAACAAATAGACCCACAGCATTACACTAATCCCATAATGCTTAATGGTATCTGTTATTATAAAGTTAACCTCTCGAAGCCATCCAGATCTGTATTTCAAAGTGTACTGCATCTAGGAATCAAAATGATATTTTTAAGGTGTACAACTACATGCACACTGCAAAATGCTGGCTGGCCAGCCCTTGATTTTCTTGCAGTATTAGCCAAACCTGTCCATGTAGCAATTGTAGTAACGACTTAGACACGAGGAAGGATCTTGGGTATAAACAAAGGAGGATTAAAAATCTTTCTCAGTTAAGCTTTTTTTTTTTTTTGAGCTAAAATGTTTGTACTAAAATAGTAAAGAGCAGGACCTTTCACTCATGTTCTTCTGGTATAGAGCAGGTACAATTTGCAATTTCGCAAAATACTGAAGCAAAAAAATAAAAAACCCAAACCATCTAATTTATTAATGGAAAATAAAATGCATGTACAAAAGCCTAGGGCAAAGAAGCACTGGGTATCAGTGAAGGAAAAAGTAACAAATGCATTTCCTATGGCATGATGAAATGCCACATGGTTACACAGTTATCAAGGATCAACCATTCAACAGCTGATGCTCCTTTCCATTAATGCCAGCTAGATGCATTACTGGGTCAGCTAACAATACAGATTTAATCTGGAGCAAATACACATGCACCACTGAATTTCTGTATCATCTAAGCTAAGAAGAGTGTGGGTTATAATATTAAAGCAGTTTTATACTTTCTGTTGACTGCAAGTTGATTGCAGGCAAAAAAACTTCCACATTAAATTCATTATAAAGCTGGCCAGAAGACATTAACTGCTTTGAAATAATGTTAATATATTTTGTTAGGTAGAATAAATTTGCAAAACACCTGAATTGTGCTGTTTGCTGGTAGCTTTTCTGATCTACAGTTAAGTACTCTGAAGCCCTATTTGCCAAGCCATGTAACCCCAGCCTGGCCTCTATAGCTCTCTTTTCTTAGATGAGTGTTAGCTGTAATGGTAAGAGCAATGCCAGTGATGTATCTGTTCCAAAAATAAATATCCACTCCTAACTTCCAGCTTGGCACTGAAAGGCTCGCCTAAAACTGGATATATATTGTAGAAGGTTTTAGCATGGACCACATCTGCCTCAAAAAGTTTTAAAACCAAAGAAGCAAGAAAAGCATCATATAAAGATTAAGATTTAATATTACAGAACCAAATAAAATCATCCAACCTAAAAAATGTCTCAGTGGTGATTTAACTACTGGGCTAGAATATGTGTTTAGCACACCAAAATCTCTTGATGAGTTTGCCAGGTGGCAAGAAATGGAAACTCTTTGAAGTTAGAGCATTTTATTCATATTAGACATTTCTGGTCAGATACAGAGATTTCCCATAGGTAATAATAAAGCCCTTTTTTTTGTAGGCAATTGGACAATACTGATTTGTATGAAAATCTTAAATTTTTAAGCTTGTGTAATGTATTCCCAGATTCTGGCAGTATAGTAGCAAAAATATAAGGGTAAAAATGTCCTTTGTCTTTAGGAAGAAGGTGAGGATCATCTACTTCTACATCATTTCCCAGCTGCCCAGCAATATTATGATCACAATAATCTGTACAGGACATCCATTTTGTTGCATGGCCCAAGGCAGAAAACGAAATGAGGAGTTTCAGTGTTTCAAGCCATTCAAAGAAATCTCCCAATCATGAACATTGGAGTCTTGGCTCTCTTGCACACAGTTGGACCTCACCCCAGTATGGTTTCGAAATCAATATTCCAGTCTACACTAACGGAAGAGAAAACCCACTACACATGGTTCATGACTGAGCAGGGCTTTTTTTGGTCATCCTGACTTTTGATTCCCATTAAGGACTGGTGTTACTCTCCTGTTAGGGAGAAACACAGCTTGAGGCTCTGTTGACATGGAAAGGTGGGATAGCATGTGGATGTTCCTGTCAGAGAGGTGTATGAGACCATAACCATAGACTTGGTTGAGTATGGGAACCAGTGAGAATCCTCCAGATGCTCAATGCAATGGCCTGGCTCTAAAGTTTCACAAGGAGACCTGAGACTTAGAAATACATGGGAAAAGGAAGGGAAAAAAATTAACTGAGGGTCACAATCTTATACTTTAAATATTAGGACACCAGATATGGAGTTATCTCAGTCTCACCAGAGCTTTGCAGAGAAGAGCCGTAAAACAGAAAGAGATTTTATGAAGTGGTGGGCAATTAGTAGCAATAAGCAATTTACTGAAGTGATCCAAACAGCTTATTTTTTTAAGGTTCCTTTGATGTTTAAGTGCTATTCTTATAAATGTAAGAAACAGCAGATAATAAAAGGTGCTCTCCGATCCAAGCAAAAATTGATGCTGAATGAGGTTATTAAACTGAAATATATTTTAAGAGTATTAAAGAGACTTCAAACTGAAGTCACAGTCAGAAGTTCAAATTGCTGTTTCTTATTAAAGATATTGGTTTCCTGATGTCTGCTACTCACAAAGAACAAGTGTTGACTACTATAACCATCTTTCCATTACAAAAACTGTTACAGATGATTATAGCAGGTCTGTCCACTTTCAGCTGTCAAGGCCCAGGCTATTTCTTCCCAAGACAAAATTATGTAAAAGCTAGAATTTTGTACAGTTATTATTTGCTTCTCCCTGAATTTTCAGGATCTTTTAGATCCTATTCAGAGGATCTAAATTTGAGCTCTACAAGTTACACTTCTCAGCATCTGTAGGGTCATCACACAAAACAGGAACGCTCACCAACAGCCTGTGATGGCTGGGGAGGCCTCTGGAGCTTCTCAGCTTTTCTCCAGGGCTATCCCCCAGCAAGGCTTACTCTAAAGCTCTACTCTCACTGAACCCTCCCTTGAAGATGCCAGATGAAGTTTTTCTATGGTCTTTAGTATGCCCTTCTTCCCAAATGTCTTCTTGTCTGTTCTTTCTTTGTGAGACCACTGGGAACATCTGCTTCCTCCACAAGGATTTCTGTCATTCTCTGAGAGCTGAGCTGACACAGGGACAGATCCCAAGGGCTGTTCCCCCATGGCAGCATGCTTCCATCAAGTGACCACATTCATCAAGCAATGCACCAGGAGGGCAAGATTCTGTCTCAAAATAAATTCATTTCCTTTGCATATATCAAAGGTTATTTTTAAGACCTACAGCTGATGGCAATACTTTTTCCAACAATGACAGCCCAAGAAACAAAAAGCTACTTACCTGGTGCTAGGCAAAGGCACTGAAAGAAAACTATTATCATACATTATTTTACATCACCTTTATTCCCAGCTACAGTCATGATGAAGTCTTGTAATGCATGGGTTTTAGTATCATTACACAATCAATCAATCACTAGTTGGGTGCTTTTTTACCCCTCTTACCCCTGTCTCCCAAGTGTCTGCTCACAGCCAGGGTTGGTTCCATTTTCCAGAAGCCAAGGAAGGCTGTGGTGGGAGAGCAGAGGACCTGCTGTCCAGCAATATGCCATGTAGTGTCACGGGGGGCCACATGGGAAAACTCTCTGTTCAGAATGAATGAGACAGGTTATTTAGGAGAAATAACAGAAAAAAAAAACTGATAACAACAAACATGCTTCAATCGCTCACTACTAGAAATATAATGCCTACATGTCTAACTCCTCCTCATCCTTCATGGAGGCCCTGTAGCTTCTTTTGCTTTTGTGGAGGAATGAACAAGTAACTGGTTCAATTAAATAAGTTGGATGTAATAATAGAATGCAGCCATATTATACTCATATAATAAACATACAAACATAGAAAGACTGATTTAAGAGGGTATAGACTGTCTTAACTATGGCATCCTGCACCAGTTGAAAACTTTATCATTTGGCATTACTAATAATCTTCCACCCTAGTATTTTTATGCAGTTAATACACAAGTATGTCAATCAGTATATCTGTCTACATTTAAAATAGCTATAGATACATTTTTTTTCCACATCACATTGAAAACATTTTACCGATTCACTTTTCTCTGCCATTGGCAATTCCAAGTAAACAAGACCATTAATTTCTTACCTCAGACGAACCAATCCATTCCCTTTCCAGGAAGCTGTCAAGAACCTTACAATTTACTCTTACTGCTTTTTTTTTTTCTCCTTATTTCACTGTTCTGTTGACATAGTCCTATGCTCATAAGCCAGGGTGAAGTGCTATATGCACAGCATGTCCAACACCACTACAGAGCTAAAGACAAAATGGGGGGGGGCGGTGGGAGGAGGTGGAGGTTGGGCTTCCTCCAGCCCAGGAGCTGTTTTGCCCTATCCCCTGCTACAAGACAGTTGCCTACCACAAACCCTTCTCTTGAATTTTGGTGTAAAGTTCAGGCCAAATCCATCTGCAAAGCAGTGATTTGTAGAATCATATAAAACTAAGAAATCTACCATTTTTCCAAATTATAGCTATACTAGGAAGATATGAAGAACAAGATGCAGAGGGCTCCTACAATTATCTAAAAATCTACTAAAGTCTTTTTGGGCTTGCCACAGCACACAGGCTGTGAGTCACAACTCCCAAGGCTTCCACTTAACAACTAAAAGGGAGAAATGATCAATAACATTTTTCTCAGTGAGTGATTAAGACTGCTTTTAACAATGCAGTCATGCATGCTATGTACTAAAAGGGATGATTCATTAGTTACTTGGAAGAGGAGCATCTTCTTTTCTCAGTTCAGAAGCCAGGGAGATGAGCTAGTGCCCCATGAACAGGGCTGACTAGCATGTAGAAAGAGAGGAAATACTGGCTGCTTTTGTCCCTGTCTCCACATCTGCAGAGCTCTTCTCACTAGGGCAAGAAAGTAACTGGGGAATTTTGTATTCAGAAGTGGCATTGTTTTAGTCATGCTTTGCATGAGTCTGACACCAGAGCTGCTGGCAGCTACTGGCAGCTCACTCCTCTGCCCTGCAGTCACAGGTGCCTGCCCCAGGCCCAAAGCATGATCTTCATGGCCCCACTGAGCAGCCCAAGCAGACACACCAACTGCTCTGCACACCACGTTCTGACATTGCTTTGGCACATACATGAGAAATTAGTCTGTCCTGATTGTTGTGGCAATTGCCTCTGCTGAAATAAAATGAACACTTACATGCAGAACTGGCAAAGAGGACAATGACAATAAAGGATTTTTTTAAATTATTATTTTTATTCAACCCTACTATTGCTGAAATGAATTTTAAACCAACTCCTCCCTTTCCATCATCTAAAATTTGCTAATGCTAATCTTCCTTTGAAGATGAGGTCATGCATACAGTAACAAATATATCACTCCCAAGCCTTGTTAGGTTTGGGCATTCTTTGCAACACCCTGATGGTGCAATACAGTAGTGTGATGGCATCTGAAAAGTAATGCTGGGTTGTCTTACAGTCTTCTTCCTGTGAGGAGAAATGATGCTGCCAAAGACTGTATGCAAAACATTTCCAACAAGCAGAAATTGAGGTTGTTGTATTTTAATCACAACAGGTGTTTCATTTATGGGCAAGTACAAAGCTTTTTCTTTTTCTTTTCTTTCTTTCTGATAAGACAGATCAGAATCGTCACATAGAAGACCTACATTTCTTTGCCCTTTTCTTGGGGTCTGAATATCAGACACAAGCATAACTGGTGTGCTTCTTACTGCAGACTTGTAATAAACATCTGGACACGCTGTACTCAGAAAACTGGCAGCAATTCCAAATTGGTGTATGTGACAGACCTCTGGCACCAGCCTAGAGATGGTCAGTATCTGCAGTGCTAGTACACATACAGTGCCCTTGCATCCAAACAATCACACTATTCTTAAGGACGCTTGTATCCTGGATTTTATCAATCCCACCAAAACTCTGCTTCACTCATCCCTAGGCTAAGTCTTTGCCAAAATGTTTCTTTCTCTGGTTTGGCTTTGCCTTTCTTTTGACCTAATCCTGACTACCTTTTTTGCCTTTTACTGCTCTTCTCCTCTGTCACAGGTTGCCTCCTTGGCAGCCAGCACCAGCTATTTAAGCAAAATAATTAATTTCCCTAACTCATGCCTCTGTTTTCTTCAAGAGGTCAGGGTGGGGTGAAAGGAGATGTAGCCTCCACATGCCAGGGCAACCCTGACCCACATGAAGATGTTAGCAGATCTAAGGGGTGGAGAGGAAATCCCTGTCAGTACTTCCCTTCCCAAACACACTCGAGCAATATCCTGCCCTGAATATGGCCTACTCTCAACCCTCCTGTATGCATTAGTATTTATTACCATCCTTTTGTTATCTGAATCCCTTTTATTTCACCTTGTCAAGTGCAGAGTATACTTCCCATAGGACTGGGAATAGAAAAAGGGTCTCTCTAAGTGCCTGTCTAGCTGGGCTCCTGATAAAAAGACCTTAGGGATTTTGGTTATATTATTCATTATGTAAGTGTGCTTAAAGCCTCGGCTACATAAATTCCATGCAATTCAACTCCAAACATACAACTTTAAAGAAATATTTTACTCCTGAAATAAGTGCTTTGAGGGGGAAAAAAAAAAAAAAAGGAAAATAAAGGGTGGGAGTGGTTAGGTTTGGGGTTTTTTTCAATTCAAAAAGATGGTATTTTGATCTAAAGCAAGAATCATTTTTGTGGTTTTGAAGGCCAAAAAATGTCTCTTGAAAACCAAACAATTGACTTGAAACACAGACAGGTTCTTTTCATTAAGTACTGGAATACATTGATCAAAATAAGGATCTTCTATTAAAAAAAAAAAAAAATCTCATCTTCAGTCAAAAAGTTTAAATCTCCTGAGACTCCTGAATAAATGCACAGCACATTTTGGACACCAAATGGAATAATCTTCATTAGATATACATATATACATATATATGTATATAACCACTGAAGAGTAATGTATTCCATATAAAAACAGAGCATTATCAATTCCATATGTGAGGTATTATGTAACTTGAATTATTTTTTCTTTCACCATTACGCTTCAGCTTCCACCAGAAACTTCAAAGACAAATAAAACATTAGTCATTTAACTGGTGATATATAATACTCCCATTTGTCATCTCTGGCAAGGTTCTGCTTTTAAACTTAAGTTAAAGCAATTAATTTGTGTCCTATGAGACATAAGAACCTAAACTTCATTGCAGCAGATCTCTGATAATGCTGAACATAGAGCAAGGTCAGACCTTGGGAAGCAAAACTGAGCACAGTGTTGAATGACTGCTACAATTAATTTTTTTCTGTAACTCCTGAAATCTTGTATGCTACTCTGCTGACACTTCCTTGGAAATAGCTGCATCATTTTAGCTAAAACATTTCCTGCCTTCTCCCCTCAGCAACCCACAAGAAACAGCCAGAGGCATTTATTTAGCATTGAAAACATCTGAACAATATATTCACATTTCAGAAAATATGGAAGAATTGAAAACAGTATAATTTAGTGGAAAGAGCTGAGTCGTTTTTTCCTAGGACCTATTGCCCATGCTCTGCATAATGGAAATGTTGCTATTTTTTTTTTATCAGTAACTCGCTGCCGTGTCACGCTGCCACTTTCTATAATGGTTAATATATAACTCACCAATGTGTCAGTTTTTCCCTAAAGTGTTACTTCAGGCAGTGCAGGGGAATTCCCTTTGATATCTGTGCCAGAGCAAAGGTACACTGGCAGCTGTAGTTATACAAAAGGGGGACTTCAGCTGAAGGACAGCTTGGGAACGTCTGTGTCCCATCCCTGCCTTGCCTCTGGCTGCTTCTTCACACTCATGCTTCTCTGCAACTGTTTTTGGGTTTGTGCTGTAAATCAGGTCACTGAGCTGATCCAAATTACTAATAGGCTTTTTGTTTACAGAGTTGTTCTTAATACAGGTTGCTTTTCTTACCAGAACGATGCCAGAAATTGCAGTGCTGGTGCAACTGAGAAGGCCAAGTCCTGGGACAAAGAGGAGAGAAAAGCAGTTGGGATAGAGGACACTGGGGAGGAAGCATGCCTGAGTTCATGGAACTGCTGGCTCAGATGGTGTCTCTTCCACTAATAAGGGTAAGATGCAGTCAGGAGGTTGCTGTCATAAACCATTAGCAAACAGCAAATTCACAGAAAAAGGATCATGCACTTGCTCTAAAAAAAAGACTACAATTAAACAGTAAAACAGCTCCATATGTGACTTTTGCAGGAAAAGTAGCTATATAGACAGGTGTTAGAGAATGTGTGTGGGCATATGTACACACACACACACATGTGCATACACACACAGATGCATATTAACACACATTTACACAACAAAAACCATCTCTAAATTTAAAATAAATGCAAAATACATCTCACTTGAGCGTTTTTGACAGTCTTCAAAAGCATGCTGCTCTGATCCCCTGGATGGCTGGTTCGTGAAAGCAACAACCAGAGAAGCCTATAGAGGGAGCAGGCTGCCTTCTTTTCCTCAGCAAAAGGAGTTTACAACCTTAAGTGATGACCCTGAGAGAAAGGAAACAGAAAGGTAGAGGAGGAAAATGTCTTAAGTAGAGCCCTATGCAAGGGCCAGAGCAGTTGCCCTGCAAACAGGGGGAGCAGCACCAGAGCTGCCTCTCAGGGCATGGGCAAGAGAGCTGCAGGTTCACACCTACCTTCTTCCTCCTCCCTCTTCTTTGTGTTCACACTTTGTACCCTACAGGGAGTCAGGAATTTCTTAGTGTTTCCCCCAGTCTCTGTCCCAGCATTTCAGCAGCTTCTCTGCACATTGCAGGATGGAGATTTGCTTGCCTGGGAGTTGAGCAGAATTTCATCTTCCAACATTAACAGCCAGAGTAATAGAGCAGTAATAGAAGACAAGAAAAGATGCAATCAGAAAAGCCTGGCATTTCCTGTTGAACAAAAAGAAAAACTCAAAAAAGGCTAACCATGTCACAGACAACATAAGAGAAGCAGTATTAAGCAGAGCCAATTCAGAAGACAGAGTACATAGAAATGCCATAGTTAGTTATTGTCAGTAGAGGCTATGTGACTGAACTGTATGTTATGTGTATTTGAAATCATATGTGCATACACAAAAATGTTTAATTCTTTAAGCCATGTATACCTGTATTGAAGGTCCAGAAAGCTGGTAGTTATTTGTATGGCTGTAAAGCCCAGAAGGCTCATCCTAGACAGGTTTGTGTTTGCTGAGCAAATCTGTACCAAAAGCCTCTACCTTACTGTGTTTATTATAGTAAAAAAAACCCCAGAGGATAAGATCTTTTTCTTTTTCTAACACATAGGGAGCTGTGACGAAAAAAAAACTTAACAAAAACTTTAATAACTGGTGTTATTAAAGCAACCCAGTTTCAGTCTTAGAGACAAAGGACTAGCAGCTAAAAACACCTGTTCAAGGCTTGACCAAGCAGTACATGCATTCTCAAATTAAAAATAACAATCAGAAATAAAAAACAGAGCACAATACATGGCAAACACACATGCATTTTTCACCATGTTGCACCTGTGAGTTCTTCTTGTAGAAAGACTGGCCATCCACTGTCGCCTTGATTTTGTAAGACTTTGTTAAGCCTTCTGATGTTTACATTCTTTCAACAAACTTTCTCACACACAGTTCTGTAAATAACCTATGTTTTGCATTCTTTCATGGAAGCGGAGAGAATTGATGGACCCTTGGTCTGTCCAGTGGCATTGGAGAGGTGGCACTGTCACCCTCCAATCCACTGTCACCTTTGGAAAACTATAAATGTTGGAGTCAGAAAATAAAGGTTCTTCTTTTTTGTTCCCCTCGAGAGCAGCAGTGTCTGTGTCATCATTTCGTGCCTTATCACAACAATCCACAGTTTATCAGATAACTTATCTTTTCGTAAACGTCTAAGGATGGGTATAAAGTATGCAATATTTATACATAAAAAATTGTACTAAAAGCTTTCCCTCCTATGCACTTAGGTCTAATAATAGTTTAGTGTGTTTCTCCTGGGGAACAAGAGCAGGTCTTAGCACTGCAACATAAATAGTTAAGCACAAGCCATGCAGCAGTAAACGAGAAAAGGAATACACTATGCCCTTCAATTCCAAGGCAATGCAGCATGAGAAATATAATAAAAGGATACTATTACTTTTCCTCATAATATGGTTCATCGCTTGACTTTTAATACAGGTTTGCTGCTGCTTTCTTTTTTGCCTTTTTTTTTTTCATCATTAGAGAAAGGCCATTTGAGGAATATACTCTGCACAGTGATGTGATTCAGCAGCTTTCTGGAAAACAAAAACACAGCTCTCTTTCTGGTGTACTAATGAAACACAACTGGCACTAATTTTCATTGAATTGAGCCTAACTGAAAGCAGGCAATGTACCATGTTAGCTAAAGCTCAGTGGTCTTAGATCACAATATTATTTTTCATGGGTTTTTAGTCATTATGTGCTGAACATAACCTGCTGCTAAATCAAGCCAATGATAACAAATATATTACTGTGCAAGCTGTTGTGTTACCAAGAATGGCTCAGTAAATACATTTATTTGCCTTTTTATCCAAATTCTAGACAGTTTCTGTCCATACCAGCATGTGAGACCATTGTTTCTGAACATCTCCTAAGGGCATATCAACAGAAAGGTTGTCCAGCAGCTTCATAAAGGCAGAGTGCCCTGTCACGAGCTTGCCATGTCAACACTTTTTCCATGAGGACACTAAATGCTACTCAGACACACGATATAATTTTACATATTTGGCATTCTTTACCAGTAGTGCTCCAAGTCTGGAAAATTAAATCAAGACCAAAGGAGGTAGAAAATCCCCCACAGTCACACACAGAGTAGTCAAAAGAATTTAGGAAGCCTTATGCTTCATGGGTGTGTTTCCATTAAAAATATCTGAATAAAGATATCGTTGCCTATCTAGTCTGATAGAGAAGTCCTGTCTCCAGGCAGGCATGATGTGGTAGCCAGCCATGGCAAGCAGAGAGTGCCTGAGCTGGGCTGTGCTGCATGTCCTGCCTTCGGGCACATGCTGCTTTTTCTCCAAGAAACATGTGGAGTGACAAGCAGCATGTGTCCCACGTACCACCAGGATCATTCCTGCCTCGAGCCACAGAAGAGCTGCCACTGGAGCTCTGCAGCCCACAGTGAGTCCCACAGCCTCTGTGAACCCACCTGAAGATGAAAAGTGCTGCACGAGAGACTACCCTTGTTGTTCCTGGCAGAGCTGCATGGGGACATTGGCATCCAGGACCTGTGGGCTTGGCTAACCACCAACAAGCACAGAGCCTCTACTCTTAGAAGCACCAAGCAATATTGCCCAAACATATTGTCATTTGCAAAAGAAAGAGTCATTCTGACAACAAAGTCCTCCAGTGACTAAGTGATCGTGGTGTTGCTGGCATTAAAGAGCTGGCAGAGTTTCCACCATAAATATTTCTATCAGGCTATTGTATATCAGCTGTAAAATTTGCTGGGGGCTGATATTTGGAAAACAAGATCCAGCAAGATAATCCTTTTTTAAACACATTATCCTATTTGAGTAATCTACAGGTATGCAAATCAAAAAATCTGCAAGTGTAGGCCACAATGACACCTTTGCTGATCCTTCTTTGCTGATGCTATGGCCATCAGGGAAAGTGAGCACTGGCCATTCCAAAGTTCTTGGTCTGGGACTTTGCTTTTCCTTCCAGATACCCTCAATGGTTCAAATAAAAATGCTGGGGAGACAGGTAGAGCAGACAAGCTGCTGTCAACAAGGAAGCATGGAGAAGAGCTTCCCCAGGAGAAAAATCCATCTCCCGAGAAGGCAAAATACATAGCAAGATATGGATCACCTTTGCACATAGGTGAAGAACAGCCACTGTTGGAAAGTTCCTGAATCCTGCCTAGCCATACATTCCCCTCCTTCCAGATCTGGAGTAAGCCAACTTTTCCAGATAAGTGAAAGAAAAATTGCACTTATTTCTATCTCAAAGGAAATTTCTGCTGTTGCTTCCAAATTAAACCAGCTTCTTGGTCATAAAGCCATAACACTGTACTGGCCACATAGCCCTTTTGTTTTAAAAAGTTTCCTGTGGATTCTAGCACTTCTGACATACATTTTGTGGAAAACATGTCAACTGGCCCTTCTGAATGGAGATTTCCAGATGTGCACAGAATACGCACAGGAGAAATAAGTGGTTACATGCACCAGGAATGGAAAACTCAGTACCCAACAAACAGTAGCAACTTTACGTATGATATTCAGGATTTATAGTTAGAAATACTCTTTTCATTGATTTCGTTATTAGAAGTCTGTTACATCTAAGCATTTTTTTTAAATGCTGAATCTCATTTCCAAATACCCTTATGGAACAACAGCCACAACAACAAAATTAGAAACACATTACTGAAGACAAATTAGAATAACTAAGCTTAACACTATACAGGAAAAATGCAGCGTTAAAATATATGAGGTAAAATTGTTTTCTAACTATCCCAATGTTAAACATAATTTTGTCCTTGGAATGAGCAAGGACAGAAATTTGTGACATGCTTTTACAGTGTTAAACACAACTGTAGTTTATGCAAGTTATGTACTAGATCAGTATATTTCCTCAGTATAGTTAAGGCCAAAGAGATTTAATAAGATATTTTAATTAATTTTTAATTAACAAGTCTTTTTTAAAAAATGCTTTTAACCCTCCCTTCCTTTGGGACCATGATTTCAGGAAGTCCTGAGAAAATAGATAGATTATTTTTCAGCACTGCTTACACAGGAAACCTGGAGGGATAGATCAAGTGAAAGAGATTCTCCAGTAAGCATGGAAAAGCCACTGCTATCACACCTATCATATTGATGGCAAAAGCAGAAGGCCACAGATCTGTACTGGGGCAAACCCCTCAGATACTTAGTAGTATCTGTAGTTTTCTGAGGTTGGTAGGACAAGTGTTTCAGAGCACACATGGCCTGGGTTAGAGATAGGCTTCCCTTATCACTTCTGAAGAAGTCTTCATGAAACAGACATTCTCCCACCACCTGTGCATAGTGCACACACATGTGCAGACTAGGCATTTCTTATCACAATGTTGTTGAAAAATGTATTTCCTTTCTTTTTCTTTTCAGGAGCATAAATAGAAACCACATATTTCCAAAACCAGAACTGTGTCATAATAGCCAACGCAGGACAAGAGGGAAAGGTTGTTGTGGTCTGCAATATCTTCTCAGGTTAGTAACCTTCTCTTCCTCCCTCTCTTCCAGCCCCAAACATGTGGCTGTCATAAACTCTTTAAGGCAACATTGTCAAATACATTCACCAAATATTCTGATAAAAAAAGAATCATTCAAATAAAAAAAGTATGTTGATGAAAATACTCTGTTTAGAGCATTGCTTCATATTGGTGAATAGCTCATTTGCTATTCCTGGATTTTAGAGCTCAGTGCTTTTGTAGTAGATATTTTTAAATAAAGGTTAATGAACATGTTTGTCCTGTGTTACATACTTGAAACGTCTGTGGAAATAAACAAGCACCCCCTTCT